TATATATATATATATATGTTCCTTTTGAAGCTATAAAACTTTCTGATTTCAAAATATAATCTTTTTTATTATTTGATGTGATGATCGTGATAGTTGATTACTGTAATTGATATTAAAATATTAAGAACGTTATTCAAAATTGTTTTGTTACAATGATATTGTGCAAAATAATAATTTAATAAATGATTTTAGTATAGTTTTAATAAATGTTTAACTAAATGTGACATAAATTTAGCTTTATTTTATGCAATATCAGTTATGACTATCTTCTCAACTGTAATAATATGTTGCAATAGTTTCCATAATAACCCTTTTTACATATATTTGACCTATATGTACAGATATTTATTTTGAATTTCTCGATTCTAATTTTGGTAATTTTAAATTTATTTTAAGAATTGAAATAAGAGAAAGTTATAGTCTTTTTTTAAATTCAAATTTAGGTTGTGGCCAAAGGAATCATCGTTCAAACTGGAACAGAGAAAGTTATGGGAATGTTGCACAGTATAACAACATTTTCCGTACCCGTATCTCCAGAGATGGCTCCAGTATTTCATGTAGTGGTTTACCATATTACTGCTGATGGAGAAGTTTTAACAGATAGCGTTATAATACCTATAGACGCTTTGAATAAACATGACGTAATAATTTTAATAGATAAAACAATTTAAAATTTTTAAAAATTCAAATGTTTTAGCATCAGTGAAGCAATAGTGGAAAATTATTGCAAAATAAATTATGTTGCATTTTGTGCAAAATGATTCATATATTTAAAATGAGAGAAAACTAATCAATCATTCAAACTTTGTATTTTGTAACGTAAAATTATATTCTTTAAAATGATTTTAAAAATTGTAGATATTACAATTCAAAATGTTTTCAGTGATTTCTAAATAAAATATTTAAAAGTAATATATAATAACTGAAAACTAATTTTTGCATGGAATTATTTTTAAATAAAGAAAAATTATAATTTTTTGCGAAAACTTTTTCAATTCACTTAAAAAGTTCTCAAACTGCCAAAATACTCTCAAAGTAAAATTAACATTAAGGGTCCAAACTTTTGACCTCTTTTCTGACCAAACTATAACCTTTTTTTTTTGAAAAATTCTGCTCTCTATAACTGCCATTAGTAAGCTTTAGAAAAATATGTTTGGGAGCAAATGATTAAAAAAAATGAAAATAAATTGTTTTTGTTAATTATTAAAAATATATACATTGTGTTTTGCCTAAGATGCATAAAAGGAGAAATATTTAACATAAATTTATTATTTCCTGGTTTTAGTATACATGCATCTTTTGTGTTTACATTTTTAGCTAGGAATAAGTTTATACCCGTTTTTAATTTTACTTCGCTTATTAAATGATAAATTAAGATCTTTTAAAGAGTGCTTACATACGCAATGCATTATTAAAAAATAAAAGATTTTTGTAATGCAATATATAATTTTATAGATGATAACTTTTTCAATTTTATTATTCCAAATATTGTGTTTTATTAACAAACATATAAAGACTTCTTCTGTGGTAGAAACATTTTTACAGAAAGTGTCAATTTTGTATCCAACATCAAAAAATTTCTTATTTGAACATAATTTCCAGTAATTACTTGAAAATTAAAAAAAATTTTTAAAAAGTTTTTTTTTTTGAGAGTAGCACTTATTTTATAATGAAAGATAAACACTTTTCCGTATACTGCACAAATTATGGTAATACTTTCTAATTAAAAATCATTAATATGATCAATTTTAATTTACATAAAATTTATTTAATTTTTTTTACGCTTTCAGTTTAAGCTGGTTGTCAATATGAAGCAAGAAAGATCTGGAAACTATATTGAGTTGATACCATTTTTAACGTCAGAATCCAACATTGGAATCTGGGGATTTGACAGCGATCACGTATCTACTCATGGACGCCAACAACTAACTGTGACCTCAGTGAGTAGAAAAGAAAATGCAAGAAAAATCCATATGAATTTATAATTTTTCTAATCTTTGCTGGTTCAAGCTATAAATGTTCAAGCTGTAAATGTTTAAATTTGCGATAATGAGTTTCTATGCAAATCGGAATCCTTGTGATGTCCCCTACCTTCCCTCAAAGTTTATCCCAATAATCCTGAGACACATTGTATATGCAGGTTACAAAATATATTAGAATTTAAAAAAATGCCTATGAAGTATTCATTACATATTTTTTAATGAGAATTATTTTGATAGTAAAGAGCGATCAAAAATTTTACTCATCCGATCATAGAATGTCTTCTGTTTTTCAAAATGATGTCTGAAAAGAAGTCATCATTTTCCTAAAAAAACATTCCATATTTAATGATTTATTAATTTTAAACTTGAATGAAAATAATAATAAAAGTAGTTTTGCAGTCAAATTTCATACATAAACGTGGTAAAATTAATCTTTAATAGAAAAAATAGGGTTTGGGAAAATTGGCTAGTATTATTCTTTGAGTTAAAGCAAAGAATAATGCTAGCCAATATTCTTTGCTTTAACTTAATAGATAGCACCATGCCTTGTAGTTTCATGAAATATATAAATTATTTTAATTTTGAACTCAATTTTTGAACATTAAGTTTAAATTGGCTAAATATTTTACATTAATTACATAAATATGTCATTGGAAAGGAATAAATAAGGTTTAATAATTTTTGTAACAGTTAATGTTTTTGATTGTGGCGACTTATGTAATATTATTTATACATTTATGATTTTTTTTTATTGTTTTAGATCAATGAAGCCATGTATGAATTTGAACCTGATCATTTGAAATTTCATCGTGCTTTTTGGCGTAATAGAGACGGTTCTCCTGAAAAAATATCATATTATACAACGCATAATAGTGCAAGAGATACTAAAAATTCTTTTGAGGTAAACTAGTTTTTTTTTAAAATTGCATTATAAGTTGCTCTATTAGTATTTATGATAAAATGTTCATATAATATTTAAGCAAGAAAAAAGGTAATAATAGCAATAAGATTCGAGATTGAAATAAAATGACTGCGATTTTTTTTACCTCTGTTGTACAGTGGGCTAAAAAAAAAAAGAAAAAAAAGATATAACCTTGAATAACTTTCGTTCTAATGATCAGATTTTCACGCACTAAGTATCAATCTTAATGATTCCTGGGGGTGACCTCAAATATACTACTTATTTAGTGCTAACTATTAATTTAGTTACGAAATTGGACACCGAATCGTATTTTCTCTGAATAAACATATATATATTTTTTTACATATTTGGATTTTTAATCTTCAAAATATAGGGGGTAACCGCAATCTGGGAAATATAGCCCCCATAGTTTGGTCAGGAGAGCGATCCAAAGTTCAAACCCATTAATGTTAAGTTCACTTTTTGCGTTTTTAGTCATACTTTTAAAATTAGTTAAGCAATTCAGAGAAAAAAATTGCCCCCACTCATGAAATTCATTTACAAAAAGATAATTTCATGCAAGATATAATTTTTAATAATAATTTATTATTTTTTATTATTTAGTTTAATTGAGGATAAAAAAATTTCTTTAAACTATTTTACCAATTATTTAATTAAATTTTAACACTTTTAAAAATATTATTTTTCACACTACCACGTATATTAATTTTTCCTTAATATACTAATAAACTTTTTAGTACTTTAATTTAGGTTTTCCCTTAAAGTAAAATTCCTTTTTTAATTATTGTAAAGTTTTTATTAAAAGAAAACTCAGAATTATAGCTTACTAGCTGAGAAAAATGTTTTATTAAGAAATTGAAAACATTCTGCTGCTTAAAATTATTCGATTCAAAACAGCTGACTACTTACTAAGCATACTACTTTTTCGAAAAATGAAGATAAATTATTGATTGCCTCTTTTTCATTTTTTTTCTTGTAACTTCATAGATTGTCTTAAATAGTGTTGATGTTTCATAAGTCACTACAAGGAGCATAAAGATACCGAACATAAAAAGCTATCGAAGACGTAGCCAAAATCTTTAAGCGTCTTAAAATATCTCAGTATTTTAAATATCGTTCAAACAACTTAATTGCTAAATTAAATTTTTAATTACCTGGGCGCGTGTCTTACAAAATTGCGTCAACTAATTATTTCATTATATTTTTTACTCCTTCTTTATGCTACTACGTAGATTTTTTCTTATCATATACTAATCTATTTGGTTTAATTTTTATTGGTACTTAAGGTTTTTATTTAAATTTGCACTCGTTGTAAGTAATTGCTAATTTTTTTTTCGATTCTCAGAACTGTAGCTAGTTAGAGAAAAGGGTGCACCTATTTACTATGATCAGTTTTGCACTGAGTAATTTTAACATAGAAAATGCTATAAAAATCTTGTCAGCTAAGATTAAACGAACAAATTATTTATTTACTTACTTAATAGTTTCTTATTTGTTTGCTTTGTGAAAAGTAAACACATATTAGTGCAACTAAAAAAACCACAATTGTTTGCTTTGTTTTTTAAATGAACAAATTCGAACCGCAATTTTATTTTGACGTTTAAATTTATATATTGCACAGTTAATTTTAAGAAAGCTGTTCTTTTAAAAAAAGATGTTAAAAAAATTTACTTTTGCTAAAATTATTTTTCAACTTTAGCATGATTCCCAGAATATTATTATAGCATAATTTGCTATTAGGAAAATGCATTACATATTTTGTTAAACAGCAAATGCCAAAAATTAAAATTTCTAAAAAGGTTCCGAAGCCGTGTCTATTTTAGAATCATCATCGGATTTGAAAAATGTAATAAAAGTACGCAATTTTCGAACATCTTTTGAAGAAGAAAAAAACCGCTAGAGAAGGTTGCATACTTCTTACAACTGTATAAAACTGTGAAAACCAATTTTTCCTATATTTCGTCGTAAGAGGATAAGAATGATATTGCTCCAAGGAACCTAAGCTCAATAATTTTGTTATTTCCCGAATTGAAATCTGTTTGGACGAAATATATTATTCCTTGAAGGCCAAAACGAGAAAATGTTTAACTATAATTATTTATCTAAGCTTATTCCATTAATTTAATGATAGCTGCATCAAGGTTAATGATATGCGATGGAAGCCTCGTATACTATAAACGCATTAAATCATAGAGCTTCACTAATTTATTTTCAGAGAATTATTTATTTATAGGAAATTATTTAATTATTTTAAGCAAATAAGGGTGTAAAAATGAATTCGATCTAAATACGCCTTAAAGTGCACTCTAAAATATACATAGAACCGATAAATAAAATCGGTAGTAATGGTAATCTTTGAATTCATAAACAAGAAATACATTTTCAAACAACTTTGAGCAAGACGGAAACGCTAACTTGTTTGAAATAGTTGTCCTTGTAACTACTTCATTTTGATTCCTGGTGCTAGGGGACATTCCATTTTCACATTCGATTTTTGATATTTCAATTGTATATGGAATTTTCTTATGCCCTTAAAAAGTGTTATTATGTCTAGCAGTAAAAAAAAAATTGTTCTACATTGATTTTTTAGAAAGTAATGACTAATTATTATTTTTTCAATCTACGAACCTATACCTTTATCTTACGTAAAACTTATATTTTAATATCACTTGAAGTAATTTAATATACTGTGTAACTAAATGAATGATTCCAAGAAACTGAATCGTAAAGTTAAAAACTTCATTGATTTAAAAAATAATAGATGATAATAAAAGTGGACATGTTTTGAGCGTCCTATAATTAACGTCATAAGTCATTCACGCCTGATGAAGTCTTGAGAATTGGCGCTTATATTTGAACTCTCGAAGCAGGTCGACTTTTATTTCCCTCTTCATTTTCCTTCCTGAAATTTTTTAGAAATTATACTGTTTTCCATTTGGGTCTTGATCATTATTTTGTTAAGGATTTTATGCTCCTAAAAGTAAACATATGCATTTTAATACTTTAGCAGGATTCATGTGGTCTTTAAAAACGTAAGAGAACCGTAGCATCAATATTGTATCTATGAAGTTATCTTTAACTTTAAAATTAAAATTTTGAGACCAAATATTTTGAGTTAATGAACTTGACCATTTTGTGCCACCATTTCAGTATCTTAAGGACCTTACGAACTCTGTTCGTATCAGATATATGCAAGAAACAATAGTAGCGATAATTAGTGATAAATGTAGCTTTTCGTAATTGAATAGCATGCAATACGACATTTTCTGATGAATTTGCGAAAACAAGTTTCAGAATGTATGTACATCAGGATGCTATTTGCAGATCATCTTTGTCCAAAGATGTAACCAAATGTAACTTAATGTAACCTATATATCTCGTAGAATGAAGCGATTTTGTAAACAATGAATCATACAATATGCAACACATTATTTCAATATGTTATTCTTAAACATAAAACATTTCAATGTTTTTAAAAGGCCACTTAGCATTTAGCAATTCCTTCATTTATAAAAAAAAGAACTATCGTAAATTATATAAAACCTTGTGAATGTGACTTAGAATTACTATAAAATCTACATTTTATTTTTCAGTCACTTTTTTTGTTTCTTTAAACTTTCTTGCCTAGAAGACTCCATCAAAGCTGTAAAAATAATTATCTCTAAAATTTTTTATATAGTTATAATAAGTCACGTAAGATTGATTATAGTATGAAATCTTCGTATAAATGAAGTATAAAAACAGCATAAAAAATCCAATTAATGCCAGATAAGAAGTTCATGTATTCAAATTCTAAAAGCTTAGAAAATTATAAATAATTTATTAATCAATTCAATTTTTCCTTTCAAGGGAGATTAAAAAGAAAAATTTTTTTTTCGTTTTCGTCAGAAATCAGCTGAAAAATTATCTATTGCCTAGAAACTTCAATTTTTGCATAGAAAATTATTTCGATTTTTTTTAATAGTCTGAACTTGGTTGCTTAGCAACGGAGTAAAATTAAGTATTTAAACATTTGAATTAAACTCGTAAATTAGTTTATGGGTTATCTTAAAATATTCATTTGGGGCGGTGATTTTCCTTGGTTGTTTATTACCAAATATATATAACTATGTGGCTTACTAGCCCCCTATTTTGAGAGTCAAGAGAATCAATATATATATATATATATATATATATATTAAATGAAGTTAAAAATTGTCTATTGCCTANAAATTCCAAATATATATATATATATATATATATGTTTATTTAGAGAAAATGTGTTTTTGTGTTTAAGTTCGTAACTTGATTAATAATTAGAACTAATTAATTAGCATATTTGAAGTCACCCCAAGAAACCATTAAGATTTACACTTAGTACGTTAAAATCCGATCATCAGAGCGAAAGCTATTCCTGGTGATATGTTATAATTTTTTTTTGCCCACTGTGCATCCATTCATTCTTTGAATGTATGTTGTAAATTGCCTTTTACTCAGGAAATGTTTTATCAATATATATTGTCAGAATTATTGTTATTATGTAAATAGGTAATGAATTAATTTCTTTCTTTCCAGAACTCCAACTTGCTTGTTTTCACTAATTTAATCGTTAGTTATTTGCCATGTAAGTAACTTATTTATTACTTTTCAATTTAATTTATTAATTTTGAAATAAATATCATTTCCAAATAGTTTTAGGCCACTCTACATTATTTCAATATTTATTTTAATTAAATTATTTACAAGTGAATTGTTTTCTCCATTTACAATATTGTAAAAATTTGTGGACAGCGGTGAAGCTTAGCTCTTCAGTTGTCTAACGCGAAATATGTTTTAAAATCATTGTTTAAACATGTATTTTTATATTTTCTGTGCCATAGAACTTTTGACAAGGTTCTCAATTGGTAGTATTAAATTTAAAAGAACAACAATATATTAAATGGAAAATTTTAGATTTATTTATTTAATTTTTAGTATGGAAGTTCTGATTTTTAACACAAATTTATACAGTTTTTAAACAGATAGCCAATAAAGTAAAATTGGATTAAATACTACGATAATCTAGATTGATATGTTTCTACGTTTCTGAGAATGCATTATACATGAAAGTGGTAAATAATAAAATATTATGTTAATTATTTATTGCGTGTTATAGTATAATTACCTGCGAAAAATACATAAAACTTATAGTGTCAAAAATTCCTGTACTAAGGAAAATAATTCAACTTTTAACTGTTGAACCCTGTTCAAAATAAAAAATACTGAATATATGTTTCATGTTCGTAGCTCAAAAATAAAATATTCGTAAATTCTTGTTTATTTTGTACTTTAGTCAAATGTATAATTTGAAGGAGAAATAATTTTTGAGAACAAAAATACGAAAAATATCGTTTTATAAAAAGGGTTTCTAAGTGCACATGCATTATTTCATTTTAGATTTTTGCAATACATCTACAGATTTAAGTTCCTGCAAGTCGGGACAATGTTATCCAACCAACAAAAAATGCGATGGAATTAGAGATTGTGAAGATGGAACTGATGAAGGAAGCTGTAAGTTTCATTTCATATAGTTTTATATAGTCGATATGTAAAAAATAATTTCATAAATACAATATGCTGATAAAAATTAATAATCATTTGAAAAATTATGTACAAAATAATTTTAAGTAGAACTCTTATCGGAGAAACATCGTAATTTCTACCTGTAAAACATTTACATATTTCAAAACCCTTATTAAAAGTTTTTTTCTTTCCGAATATCGATATTTAAGTGAAAAATAATGAAAAACCAAGTTTCAAAATCCGATGATTCATTATTGAGACAAATCTATGTTTAAAAAATATTTGTCGCATGAATTATAGTTTCACTCAAAAAATGCTGATTTAAAATTCATTTGCTTAGATTGACTTTGATAAATATTATACGATTTTGAAACTGATTTTTGTTTCTTTCGTAACGTAAATATTAAATTGGAGGCAAATTAGGCAATTAAACAGCTATTACACTTTGCATTAATCCAATAAAGCTTTTTTTTCATTTATTTTACTAGACCCTGATTCTATTTTGCGGTTTTAAACCATGTTAGTTGTAAATGGTTGGAATATTATATATTTTTTTATTTCGGTATTTTAACCATACCATTTTTAAACGTTTTCAAACCGTAGAGGTTTAAAACCGTTAAAACTTTTTATAATAGGTAACAAAATGTTTACAAGCGTAAACTTCATGGTTAATTGGACAGACAGACTGCTGCAGGCTACTTTACAGTAATTTTAGAGTGAAAGTTCTAACAGTGCAGGGTGTTCCTGGATTATTGGAACAAATTTTAAGGATGGTATTTATGATGGAACTTTAAGTCAAGGGTAAATAGTATGACAGGTACAAGGAACAAAGAGACAGAAAACTAAATAATTTGAAGTATTTATTGGTCAAAGATATTGCACGTTCTGTGGTAGATGATATGCGAAAATGTTACGAAAATGGTTAAAGTTTCTACCATTGCTAGCGACTTTAGCAATGGTTTCTACCATTGCTAAAGCTTCTACTATGGCTACCATTGCTAGAGTCTGACCATAGATTAACGGACTCTCTCAAATACCTGGATTTTATTGGATATCCGTAGCAGCACAGACGATTCTTGCAATGAAAAAATAAATGGTTTAAACAGTGCATTTTATGTTTTCTTGCAATGCATTTTGAGTTCTCTTCTGGCAGATCTTATACAACAAATGAAAGAATGCCTTGTATAGATTTCCAACAAATAGTGTTTTTCTTATTAACACACTGTAAAATATTTTGTATATTTAATTAAATAAAATAATGATAAGTCTGTACATCTATAACTATTTCAGGTTTCCAAATGCAGCTGAATGAAGATAAGGATTTGTTTGAGTTTTATCTATATCGACGAAATAGACAAGGCGCATTTTATGATGCTACAGCAGGGAATTTTGCATGGAAGAACAAAATTATTGGGTAATTTTTTTATATAATTTACAATACGTAATATATGAAATTTATTTTGTTCTATCAATACAATAATTATTTCCATATAAAATGAATATCAGTATTATGTATATATATATATATATATATATATATATTCGCAGAAAATGTAAATGGAAAATACTGATGAATACAACTGCGTCATGAGAGGGGTGTTAGCATGGCGTGAGTGCCAGCAGAGAACTCAGTTGCAGAAACTGCTCCGGCACTGACGGCATATATATATATATNTAAAGGCATAGAATGTCTAGTAGTATTACAACTCTTTTTGTTAAATATTATTTTAATGCAGTATGAACATTTTGGTCACAAAATATACCAATTGATTAACAAAAACAAGTGTACTTGCTTTTTATTTATAGATAGATATATATATATATATATATTGAATAAATTTTTAGAATCTACCCATTTCAAGAAACGGTACGCAAATATGCAACCGTGCTACCGGCTAAATCTCTGTTCTGTTTATAACCTAAACAATATTTGAATAAGAGTAATGAGTTATATAATACTACATTGTTCGAAATTATGGAGAGTATTGAACCATACTGACATGCAAATTTGCTTCAATAGTAATATCGATTATTATTTACACTATACTAGGGTTCAATATAAATGGATGTTTAACGCATTATTAAGATTTCATCAAATTCATAGTGTAGTGTGGTACAAAGTACAGATATTATGCTTCTTCGTTAAGACGTCTTTTTGAGGGTGTAGCTATAGTGAAAAATATGTATCCTTCAGTAGCGTTTGTGATGATTTATTCAAAAATATTTATTTAATTTTATTTTTAACACATCTTTGTAATATAATTTTCTTAGAGAAGATCAAGAAGAATATATAGGAACGACGGCTCCAAAAGGTCCTTCCGCTTATGCTTTAAACGCTGTTGGAATGAACAAAATGTATGGACTTCACATTTTACCCGAATCAATAATTGTAAGCTCTTTACATTTATTTAAATTAAAGTTGATTATAATACCTCATGTGGGAGTATACTTAATTAAAGTAAAGTACGGTAGAACGTCATTAGTACTAAGTTTGGAATCTTTGTTTTTAGTTTGATTCAACGAAACCATTCTTCATTATTGCTGAAGGGCCGGAAGAGGCAGTAATTGGTGAGCAAATTGGCATCAGGGTATCCGTTATGAATTATCAATTTATCGAAATAAAGGTAATAATTTCTTTTTTGTTCTGTACTCATTATCTGCGAAAAATGTTAAGGATATCATTATTTTATTGTAGAATTTATTTCCTAAGAAAATGAGGAATTTACTCCACCCACTTTTTTTTTATCTCAAAATAGTTGAAGAATGCTAATTCATGAAAAATTATATAAATCATAATAATATATCATTTATATATATATGATTTTATATATTAAAAATATTTAATAAGAACTAAAAGATGAATAGAGCAAGGAAGTTTCAAGTTTCGACACAAGTTGGCTAAAATGAGTAAAGTTCAATTCAAGTAAAGTTAATTAAACAATTTTAACGATTAGATTTTATTGTGTAGATTTTTATTGATATTTTTCAACATTTTAATTTACTGTGTGAGCATAGGGGATAATAAATTTAATTTTTTTAACGAAATTTGCGGCTTTTGAAATAATTAGTGTTTTAAGGATCCTATTGCCCTATAAAAGGTATGAAGTTTCTTTGTAGTAAGATTAAAATTATTCTTTTTTAAATGTTTTCCGCAAAAATGAGTAGGAAAAAAACATTTTAATGAAAAACAGTTTTATAATTTCCTTATTTATCATATTGAGAACTAAATAAATTCTTTGTGCACCATAAAGTGCACAACAGAAGTAAGTCAAGTAAGTTAGTAATAAAGTGAGAATAAATTAGGTTTTAACAAGTACAAATTAACTGTGAAGCGAGAATAAAATTACACATGAAATGAAAGTTAGCTGATATAATTATGATATAAAATGGAATAGAATGGCATATAAAAATGAAATGTCATATGAAATGAAAGACACGTGAAGTTAAATAGTAAAAGAAATAAAAAGGAAAAAAATTAGGGGCAAAAGAAATAAAAAGGATTAAAAAATACATTTTGACAGAAAATAAAGCCTGGATGAATTTGCAAAATAAGTAAACAGCAAATCCTTTGTTTATATTTGAGATAGTAAAAGGAGGCAGAAAACTTAATGTTAAAGAAATCTTTAGACACAATCTTTTTTTTTTTATTAATATAGATTTGTGTAAGTGTTTTGCATTTTTATTATCTTCAATATTAGATTTACACTAGTCACAGGAAAATAATCTAAATATGTTTTAAAATGACTTGAAATCACCTTGTTTAGTGAGCAAATCATTAAAAGTATTGCTTAGCCTTCATTTGATTGATATAAAGAAAATTTTCGTAATCGGGGCATTAAGAGAAGTTTTATATCATTTATGTCATTCACTTTAATTATAAGTAAAATTTAAAAAAAGAATTTTGGTATTTGGATACGATGTAAAATTGCACTGAGAAAAAAAATGTATGGTTAAGACTACCAGGATATGGTAAGACTTACCGTGTTCTTTGTCTCCATGAGAACTTCAAAACATACAGCAATTTTTACCATAGAGCTTTGATAATGACCTTTGATATAATTACAAATAAAATACGGTTTTATTAGTAAAGTATGGTGTAAATTCGGTAAAATGGTTTTCTGATAAACTACAAAAGGAGGCGGTAGCCTCAACAGTTCTAGTAATATTTGAAATGACTCAAAAATGTTCAGCAGCTTGATAACCACTATATTATTTAGTAAAAGCTTGTTAACTTTATTTTCGTTCGGTTAGCCTTTTTATTATTTCTATGCAAAATGTAAGCTAACATCTACCAATCTTTAAAACTGTATATAAATCGTATTTATAATATCATATATATAAGCGTAATATACAAATGACTGAACAAAACTGAACTATATCAGTAACGTAATTGTTTCGTATCAGTCTGTCCTAATACCCTAAGATGTAGGTAGTGGGTTCGAATCCCGCTTTAAATCTGAGTGTTTATTTATATTTATTTATTGCAAAAAATTCCAAGGGACCTCCCCTGCCCTTCATATTTTTAGCTGTTTTGCTAAGCACACAGAAATGTAATGGTAGCAAGATCGAATCCCGCCATAACCTTATGTATCTTTGTGCTATCTTTCTCAAACGTGGGCTATCTGTTTTTAAAATTGCCAACTTTTATAGGCCGTTCTTTGTATTAATCTTCCATACCCGCTTATTTATGTGAATTAATAAATAAATCTCACTACCCTCTTAAAAATTGCGGGAAAAAGGCACCCTAGCTTGAGTATCTATCTCAGTTTAGTGAATTTAAAACATTTCAATTCAACACTTGAACGAATTTATTATTCATGCTCCTTATCTGTTTGTTGTAGTTGCGAAATATATTAGGAACAGAAATAATTAACCATTACTTATCTCCTATCAACCAGTTTATATTATTGATAATATTTAACATAATAATTTAATAATTTACCACTATTTTATATAGACAATATAACACCTGTCAACCAATTAAAATGTCATATAATTTAACATTATAATTTAACAATTAACTAAAATTTTACAATTGCAGGATAAACGACTTATAAAGTCTATAACTACCTTATTTAGTAAAAGTCATAACTAAAATCAGCAAATAAATTCATGTTTCGAAGAATAGTCTGGTGCTCAAGGGTAAGAGAATCGACAAAAATGAGGTTTTTATTTCTGAGATGGAAATTTTTGATTTATAGTCTGTTTTACCAACAATTACTTTTCCCAGAATACTAGCATAGCTTGAAACTTGTGAAACGAAATTTTCTATGTCTTTATTTTTGAAATCTGTTATATTTAAAATGTTAATGACAATAAAAAAATGAAAACAAAAATATTAATACTTTTTCTTCAAGAAAATTAAAACCAAAAAAAAAATAAATAAAAATAAAGTTTTCTTTATACGCTGCATGGTTTTTCAACGTTTTTTTTTGAACTTTCATATTAGGCCTAAAATTTTAATAATTTAATAAATGAATGTTTATCAAATTATAAATGCCATAAAATAAATTTTAAGTTTTAATGGAATGCTTAAGAAGAACTAAATTTTATTGAAAATAAAAGTTATGCATAACAGTTTTGATAATTTTCAAGATTCGAATAAATAAATGGAAATTATATGTTATAACTTTGAATTTTTATATTTGCCTTCATTATTTCAGAAATTCTTCCTTTATTAAGTTTTTTTTGTTGTAGGCTGAAATTATTTTGATGGCTTCCGACGATTATAGATTTGTTCAAGTGGAGCCCATGGGAATAGTTTCATCATATAATCCAAGAACTGGAAGCGGAGAGCTGCAACATTTAATCTATGTAATCTTGTTTTTAATAATCCAGTCTGTGCCTTAGCATGTATCAAAGAGTTATTCAAAATTTCAAACATTAAAAAGTACATAAAAATGACTGTCCAACTTTAGGTTTAAAATATAACCAATTTCTTTCAAATATTTACTTGTCAATAATTTTTGAAAATTAATTTTCTTTATTCATGAGTTTATTTATTCATTTATAATTTCGAAGTAAAAGTAATCTATTTATAATATTTTTCTTTTATTTTCAATAAAAAACTTCATTTGGTGTCATTCCTTATATTTTTATTTCTGACACATTTATGAAAAATTTTATAACTTAAAAATGTTTGAATGACATTTACTAAAATTTGCCTTATTAATTTTTATTTTCTAAATGCTTGAATTATGCAACTGAAATTTACTAGTTCTTTTATTAGTTTAAATATTATGCACTGAGGAAACAATTATGGTCAAAACTACCAGATGGTAAAATGTTTCGTATTTCTGTCTCTATAGGAACACCAAAAAGCTCGGTAATTTTAACCTAAGTGCCTCGGCAATGATTTTGGTAAAATTAACAAAATATGGTTATATGATACTTGATGAAAATTTAATAAATGCTGTGAAATTTGGTAATTTTATCATGATTCCTTAGAGCATGGCTTAAAACCATTTATTCGGTTAAATTTACTTTTCAATTTTGTATTCTTTACTAAATGTGTGGTAATAAGAGCTATAATTTTGAAAACTAAAAAATCCGGTCAAGCGTTGCCATATGAACGAAAAAATCATGAAATGAATAGTTTAAATAGTGTACTTTTTAGTTTTATTAACCAAAATTATGTTTTATTTATTTTTTATTTTATTTTATTTTTGTTTTTTTTTAACCGAAAATGTCATTTTTATACTGTACGGAAATTTTACCAGAATTTTTTTTCTCCGTGACGAGTTATTAAAATTAGCGTTTCGAACTTAAAATACACTATATATGAAAAATACGCGTTATCATGCATTGCAAATTATATGTGTTTAACAGTTGAAATAATTGAAAACAACGTGCTATTAAGAATGTTAATATTATTAACTGAAATAGCTTGTAACATAATGATCACAATTTCTAAATTATCCACCATAAATATTAATATTTATCTCACTATTATAATGCTTTAAATATCTATATTAAATGGTTTCTAAAAAGGAGTATTAACCCCAAAATGTGACAGTTTAGAATTTACAGCTTAAATTAACTTTTGAGAGATTTTTTGAGAGATACATGATACAGTATTTTGAGCAGCAATTTCTAACGTCTTGTTTCATATTAAAAGAACAATACAGCTTTTTTAAATATTTTATTATTTCTTCATTTATTAAGTATTTTTATAAAATTTTTTTGGTTCATTTTATAGAAAATTTTATTTAAATAACACTTTATGCTATGTTTATTGTCTAATATGAGACGGCTGGTAAATAAATCCGTGCAAAGAAAGTCAGAAATTAATTTTGCACAATTACACGAATTTAAGCTTTGCAAAAACACGAATCTCTTATTGCTTACAAAATATAAAAGTTTTTGAATTGAAAAAAATATGCAATTTTGATATCTACATTTCTAATGCTCGGTCTCGAAGGCAAAAACCAAGAAAAAACAGGAAAGGAAAAATTTAAAGGCCATTTTTATCGAAGTTTTCCATTGTTGAATGTACGAAGCTCTTATCACAGTGAAAAAAAGTTTCCTATTCTCTCTCTCCTGTAAAAATGATTTTTCTAAAATTTTCAATCGACTGTTTCATAAGTGGAGTTTCAATATTCAGCTATTCCAGAAGTATTCCAGAATATTGTGGTCTGGAGTTGCTCCTCACGGAGAAAAAAATTTTGGTAAAATTACTCTATTATATGGAAATGATATTTCTGGTTAAAAAATACCGTAATTCAGGTTAATAAAATTAAAATATATGTTATTTATACCATTCATTTGGTAATTTTTCCCTTTATATGGTAATGGATTACCGTAAATTCTATTCTTCAAAATTATAATTATTAATACACATTTAATCAATAATGCAAAACTGATAGGTAAATTTAACCGAATAAATGATTTTTATGCCTTCCTCTGAAATATAATGATAAAATTATCAAATGTTACCACATTTATCAAATTTTATTACATATTATAAAACCAAATTTATTGTTAATCTTACCAAAATCGTTTCCAAAGCGTTTTTGGTGTTTCCATGAAGTCAGAAGAATGAATTCCCATGAAGTCACACGGAAAATTCTGATAGTTTTGATTACACTTTTTTTTTCCGTTAGCCGAAGGCATGGTTCATTTTCATTAGTATTTTCTCACAAATTCCTGACGCCCTAGTAAATGTGACCCACAAGTATTAATACAATTATAGAATAAGCTATTATTTTGCAATTCTGGCTCTATAATGGTTTGTTTTTCACATCGAAATAAAAAAAATACTTCATTTCCACTTGTTTAAAAATATTTTCTTTTTAATTACTTTTACTAAAATCGTCCGAATTTTGTGCTGACAATTTTAACCGAAAAGTAACAAGGGTAAGAACAATTTTGGCAATTGAAAATAAAATCCCTGATTAATGTAAAATTTCAAATTGAGTCAAAAATTATTGACTGAAAGTTATCGAGTTTGCTTTTAGGAAAATTAACTAGAATTGTTTTTATATTTTACCAACATTTGTCAAAATATTAACGTATAATAACACACAAAAATATACAATCAAAATACATTTTGGGTTTCAAAAATACATGTGATATTCATTTGAATTTTACAAGAATTATTTTTTAGATATTTTGCAAAATGATCACGTTATATAATTAAATTATTGCTTGTTATTGTTTTGACTATCATATTTATTTTTAGGTTAAACCTGTTAGTCATGCTTTTGTTCACATACCGATAGTTGCGACGAAAATTGGAGAGATTCAAGTAACAATCATAGGAAGAACACAGGTTGCGAAAGATGTAGCCGAAATGACTATAACTATTTCTGTACGACAAATACTTTTATTTTATTTTTTATTCTTAATTTATATTAAATATATAAACTGAAATATACTTCTCTCAATATCAATGAAAATTATTTTCAATCAATAATTGTATTTTTCTATTATTTTCAGCCAGATGGTGTACCTGTTCATAGACACACTTCTTTACTTTTGGATATGAGGAATGAAGCTTATCTTATACGTTACTTGGATGTTAACGTAACAGAAGATCCTATAATTCCTTACGAAGAGACATATCGTTATTACATTTTTGATTCACCTAAAGCGAGTGTATCAATTATAGGTAACTGTATGGTTGTGACTAGTTTTTAAATTTATCAAAACGAGTCTATAGTTTTATTACAATAATTCAATGATTTTACAATGAAAAATAGAAATATGTTAGTTATCCAGCAAAAATATTTGTTTTATATATATATATATATATATATTNTATATATATATATATAGGCAGGGAAGGAGGGTACAAAATTTATTTATTAATTATTAGGCAGAGATGAGTCATTAAAGTGCACACGAAAAGTTGTGCTCCTCAATTATATGTTGGGGAAATTCTTGCAAAGTAAATCCGTAAAATGTTTCAATTTAGGGAAAGAGGGAAATCTTAGTAATTGCAATTGGTTTATCAAATAGGTCACGCGATTCCCACAAAGAGTAAAGGGGAAAAATATCTTTCTTTTAATTAATGCATACTTGAGTCAAAAATAGATGTATGGACAGGATGTGAATTTAAAAGTGTGAGAAAGCGTTTCGATTAGAATAATAAAATAAAATAAAAGGATTTACAGAAAAGAACTAACATAAAAAGATTAATTGAAGTTTTTTATGCCCCCCCCACATATATATATATGAGTGGAAAATTATTAAATAAATAATTTAAATGCCGTATATTTTAACTTTATTAACCAGGATTAGGTTATTTTAAAATTTATTTTTAATTTTTCTATTTTACCAAAAATGCCATTAACTTATAGTGCAGCAGTTTTGCTAAAATATTTTCTTCGTGTTGTAAAATTTCAATAACTGGTGATAAATTATAAAAATATTATTGAGTTTTTGAAGAAAATTTAAAGCGCAACCTTCAAAGTTAATAAATATATTAAATAAAGAAAATAAAAAAAATATTACAAGTTGTGTATTAAAACAAAACCTAATTTTTTTTACATTTACTTACGATTTAAGATTAATTAAAAATATTTATTTGCGAATAAAAAGTACAAGTAGATGAAATCTGTAAATACATAAAATCAAAATTAAAGAAATGTTTCTCACAGTAAGAAAATAAAATGTTTGCTCTTAATTACATTTTTCTTAAAGGCATTTAAAATGTTTTGGAAACTGCTTTTTAATACGGAACATGAAGAAAATAAAATTAAAATTAATGATTTCCTTGCCTATATTAAATGAATTAATAAGTGTTTTTCATAAATTTATTTAGACAAATAAAACTTATGCATTGAATGGGTTTTTAAATGCAATGGTTTTTAAATGCATCGTATTTATGATTTTTTTGTCTGAAAGTTAAATTTTTTTTAAGAATTTACTCCTATTCTTAAAATATTTTTGAAGTCTTGTTTATAATGAAACTATTTCAAAAAAGGTAGGTAAAACAAAAGCTTTTTGTTCTCTAAGTCTTTTTTTATAGTTCCGAAACGATAAGTGAAAGTGGAAAAAGTAAGTATATTTTCCTTTTAACACGAGTTTTTTTCTGTTTCTTTGACTAAGATATAAATTGGTTCTTATATTAACCATTATTGTTTTTTAAATATTTTATTTTGTCTAAGAAAATAAATGATTTTAAAATTGATGGATTGCTTTACTTAATAGGTTTCAAAATACATTTTCTTTCTTAAGATTAAAAAAATTACGCATCTAGAATGTTGCAAAACCAAATGTAGTATCAATATTTATGTTTTTAGTTGAAAATTTTCATTTAATTGAATAAAAATAGATATTTTTCTAAACATTCACTTTTAATAATAAAATCTACTTATTTTTGGCAATTAATGCACAAAATATATTGAAACTTGATCCCGTAACTCATAGTTTTTAATTATTTTTTTATGTGTATAACATAAAGATGAAATAAATCTCTTATAATACCGATAATAAATATAATTCTCTTTGATTAAATGTTTGATCTAAAAAAGGAATAATTATCTGTTTCGCATAAAATTTGAGACTATATGTAAAATAGTAGATTGTGTGATGAAAAACTATAACGCTGATGATAAGATGTTATTTTAAAGTTATACATTCGACATATTTCAGTTTGATTGATTGAAAATATGTAGAAATTAACTTTCAAAGCAGTGATATATTTCTATATTTCATTATGTTAACCAATATTTATTTTAAAGGTGATGTCGTTGGAGCACCTTTTCCAGAAGATCCACGATCGCCAATAGGTCTTAAGGCATTAGGAATGGCTGATGCTGTCAAATCGGGTGATTTTATCATGTTCGATTTTGCTTACACATTGCTTACACTTCATTATCTCAGAATCACGAATCAGTTAAAATCCCAAACAATGCGTGGCATGTTGGAATATCTCAACAAAGGTAATTTTATTTAAGAATATTGATTTTTAAAGTAACGCAAAATCAGTTTATTCATTTATTATATTTTCATTAAATTAAAAAATAAAAATCTCAAAATTGTTGTATTTGAAAATTTTCTTTCAAAATCGTTTAAGGTATATAATTTATATTATGAAATAATTGTACTTTCATATTTTTAACACAATACGCACTGTTCTTCGTAATAACGAAGCTTTTTTCCTTCGGTGTTTCGAGATTTTCATGCACAATATATTTTATTAAATAAAAAAATTATTTTCTATAAATATTCATAGGATTATTAATTCTTCTCGATCACTATTATTCAGAATAAAACCAAATCTAAGTTCTTATTTTAATTAAAAAGGCTTATTTGAATGGATAGGAATGAATGAAGACGAACTTATTTTCCATTTTTTATATAGCTCTATATTTAAGCTATAAGTAGAATAAACAAACCATTTATGCATAAATTATTATTATTATTATTATTATTATTACTATTTTTTAAACATTAGTGGAAGTTTGAATGTGTGACTAATTGTATCTTTTTTCAGCTTACGTTTATCAATCAGTATTTTATAAAAATGGAGCGTATACTATGTTTAAGGATGAACAGCCTAGTTTATGGTAAGAAAATAAAGTTTATTATTTATGAAATTATTTTTATTAAAATTTGATTTTTCCTTCTTAATTAAACTTCCTGTACTGAAAAACTGTGGTGTAATATCTCTCTGAATTTGATTTTGAACAACCTTAAAAGTTGTATGACGGAATACTTCTCTTCAAGATAGCTAATTTCATTTACATTAATGATTGTATGAAAGCCCTAAACACCGAAAATGCAAAATGTTTACACTGAAATCACTTGCTCTAATACCATACGTTAAATCTTTTCTCTTTCAACAGCACCCATCTTGTTGCATTTGATTTCGTCTGTAATTGCTTACAATCGATAAAGTGTTGGCAAGTGTTTGTGACTGTCTTCAATGTTACTTTTTACCTTCAGAGGCTAAAGTTCGAAGTTAAAAATGTGGATTTATGTTTTTAGTTGTGCAATATGGATATTTATATTTTAATTTTAATTTTCAAGTGTCTGTAAATTGTATTAATATTAATTTTATAATGTATAATTTCATTCCACTCTTGTTCTATTAAACCTAGTTAGAATTCGTCTCAATATTCTATCTTTCGCTCGTAGGTTTGATTTACAAACTTATTTTGTTTTGAGAACTTTTATATGCATGCAACCTAAATTATTGATCCTTATTTTATATTGTCTCGTCAAAATAACTTTACTAATTCTTATGTGCATCATATCTTACATTAATTAGAAATTTTAGTGTTACTAAATAACAAATATGGTGGTTGTGAGCAGCTACGTTACAACAAATAGTGCAAAAGGACATTCTATGTGTTTCACAGCAACAGGAACTACCCTTAGGTTTTGGTGTAATAGACCATTTGGTGTAGTAGACCAAGTAGTTGCCACCATTTTTGGTGTTTAGATACGCGAAATTTTTTTACAAAGTGTAATAAAAAATAATTTAATTTGCGACAAATGAAATAAAAAGCTTTTATCAATTCAACAAGTATAATAACAATTAGAAGACTAACAAAGACTGTTTATGATACGAAACCGTAAACTTTATTCTTTCTTTAATAAGTAGGTATCATTCTTTCAAGGTATTATTCCTTCCTTGATAAAAAATATCGAACTTAAGTAAGAAAATTGTATTGATTTTAACGCAGATCATGTCTTTTACTGATAACAAGCAATGTCAACGTTAGTCTAATTTCTTCCCAATCAATATGACAAAAAATCCAAATGAGGGAATAAAACTAAAACCTTTAGATTGCGTGTTATCATAGCAGAAATAAGTGTGCAAATAAGGAGTAAGACAAGTGACAGTCACACATTAAGAAAACATCTAATGTCAACACGTCCTTAGCGGAAAGAAGTTTTTTCTAAAAGTTGATTTAAACCATTCTTGTCGGATATAGGAAAGTCCTTGAACTTAAAAGACAGAAAGATTTTATAAGACATTTGTGCTCGTCTTAATTGAATACGTCGAATTTAAAACTGAAGATTAGAAAGATATAAAACCAAAAATTTCTTTTAAAAAGCTTATCTATAATAATGAGCATTTGTGCATTACTCAACTGCTTTTTAACGCTTATAACATACTATGCATAGTCAGCGAACTAAAATGCGTTTTACTTGTGGTTAAACTGCTTCTATGATCTCCGAAGCTTACATCGAAGTACAACTCATGCATAGATGTACGCATGCTCAAGTATAATCTATGTGCAACCTAAAAAAACACTTAAAAAGATACATCTGAATTACGTTCAAATATTCGAAAGGAGTTACAATCGTTGTTTAAAACAGTCAAAAGAACTTGACTCACATCAGCCATGCACTGTAAAATATTCCGGATTCACTTCGATTCATCTGTAAAATTCATTTTACCGTAAAATTCATTTTACCGTAAAATTCAATTATCGAAAATCCATTTTTACCGTTAGCTCATCATCATCATATCTGGCTAGACAGCCCAGGGTGGGCCAGTGCCTTCCTTTGAATTCGAATCAACTTCTCTCTACTTTTGACACTTGTTCGCCAGTTTTCTCCTTTAGAGTAAGGAAATCAGTCTCAACTAAATCCAGCCACCTCAGTCTGGGTCTACCTCTTTTCCTGTTCGTTAGGGGTTTGTGTAATAGAATTTTCTTTAAATTTGAGTCATCATTCCTTCTGAAAATGTGAGCTGCCCAGTTCATTCGATTTATTTTAATGAATTTCACAATATCTGGCTCTCTGTAGATCTTATACATGCCATAAATTTTACCGTAATTTTTATTTAATTAGAGTGATTCAGTTATTTTACGGTAATTATTATTGGGAAAATTACGGTATATTTGTTACTTTGTTTCTTAACATGTTCCGATTGAAGTACTTTTTACTGTAATTTAATCCGGAAATTTAACATCATAAAGTTATCTATTTGTCTAAAGCTCTGCAAATCGTGCTTTTCTTTACATTTTTTAACCTTTTACTTTGGTTATGAAAATAAAAACACTATAGAAATACGTTTTTATAAATAAAATAAACAAAATAAAAAGCACTGATTTTTCTTTACAAAAGTTTCATAAACATACATGTGGTGGTAGTTTGAATTATTTTAAGACACGAAATAAATGTATAGAATTTCTTTATTTTAGAGGATCAAGAGGCGTGCTTAGTTTTCTATCAGTGGCGATTTTTTAAATAAATGATGCTCTGGATTATATTTTCAACGCAAAGTTTGGCTATTGTCTATTTAAAACAAAATATTTTTAAATGGAATATTTGAAAGCAATTAGAAAAATCACCATTTTTTAGTCGAGAGACCATTTTTTTAGTTGAGAAAAAATTGTAAGTCTGTATTATCGAGGCCTGCCAAAGAAAGAATATACTTAAATCAAAGCAAGCTTTTACAGCAATCGTTGCTTTTCGCTTACTAACTATTTGGAATTGGTGTCGTATTTGGAGTGAAACTTGTAGTTTTAAACAAACTAAAATCTTATACAATTGCGTATCTTTAAATTAAAACTTTACATAGAATTTCAACTCGATTGGTCAAAAACATTTTAGATATCTTCCTTCTTAAATTCAAATACCATTGCAGTTGGATAAATACTAAATAGATGAAATCACATAAATTTTTATGGAATTGGATTATAGATTGTAATATACCTATGTTTTTGACTTCCTTTAATTCTTTTGCATTTTTAAGCTTTAAAATTACAAATCTTTCGTTAAGAAAAATATTGAATTTTGTTATAGGTTGACAGCGTTGTGTGTAAGAATGTTTCATTTAGCGCAGTATCCTGATTGGGAAAACTACTTATATATTGATCCCGATATGCTATCTCGCTCAGTGGAATATATCTTAAGATATCAGACTAGAGAAGGATCATTTTATGAAGTTTATCCTCAACAATGGAATCGGAAAATGAATGTTTTGGTAAAAATCATTTGGTTTATTATTCAAACTTGTATTAAACAATTATTATAATCAGAAAAATATTTTTTAAATGTAAATCTGTGTAAAAGAAGTGAAATTCTAATGTAAAACGCTTATATAACAAGAAATAAAAAGGACTTTGAATAAGAAAGGAAAACAATAAATAAAAATTTAAAGCAAGAATGAATTGGAAATTAGACAAGTTAATAATGAAAGATATAATCTCATCATCAGCTCCCGCGATTGTATCCGCAAAACAGTGCTTTCTAATATTATATTAATATAGCGAAATCAAAGGAGGCATATAATAGGGTGAGGAGCATCAGGAAAAAGAGAGAGACCGATTCCTAAACATAATTTTTTCAAGTAATAACATCACAAAAATTAAAATAAATGAATAAATAAAAATAAAACACAATTAAGATCATATAAAACGAGAAAGGTGAAATATATCAAGTACTTATAATTATCTTACAAAAAATTATTTAGAAATATTTTCTCAACTTAGATGCCAGATTACAAAATATGAAATTAAAGCGCAAATAGAGGGTAATGGGATATCTTTTAAAGGCACGTTTTTCAAATGAAAAATAAAGGCTTTAATCGGAGCGGAATGGATAAAATTACAACTTTATAAATATCAATTATACAAATGAGGTATGAGATAAAATTTCAAATTACAAACAAAATGGGTTGATAAATTTTTCAATGTAATATTTTTAATATTTTTTTAATATTTAATCACAGTTTCTAATATTTATGAAAGATTCCGTGCATTTTGCTTTGAAGTGTGTTTACTCAAAAAAATCATATAGCATCATAAAGAAAAGCCGTATTTTAATTATAAAATTATCTTAATTAGTACTATATATTTTGCAGATAATATAAAAACTCTGTCATTTAACTTAAAATTATAAATATTAAAGTTTCATTTATAATGCCATTCTAGTTTTTTTAAGTCAAGGAAAAAGAATCTAAAATATTTATTATAAGAGAAAAATTGTAAGTTAAGCAAAAAGTTAAAGAAAAAGAATAATGAATAATTAATGTCTTTCCAGAGAACAACTGTTTGTTTAATTAAATGAGCTAATTAGTTTTCGCATTGGTTAATTACCGTAAAGTATCTTGAGATGTAATTCATAAAAATTACCTCTAACCTCTTAAGAAGATTTATTAATTTGCTTAATTTTTGTGTGCAAAAGTTTTGGAGGAATATAAGAGAGTTAAAAATAAATCAGGCTAAATGGCAAGGGTAATCATTGAGGTATTTTTTAAAAGCCTAATATGGTTTATAAAAGTTTCAGTCACATTTATTCTTTTTATTATACTCATAAAAATCAACTTCTTTCATTTTTGCTCAGTTCTTGGAAAAAACATCTAAATGAAAATTTAGCAGGTAGGTTCTTTCGGGTTCTTTAAGTTGTTTCAAGCCTGTTAATCCATTTTTTTCATACTTAATAATATTTAGGGAAATTTTATTCATTAATTTTTAATAATTGTAATAACTGTGTTCTCCTGGAAATTAGATTATTTAATTTACAACTAGTAATCTGAGAACCGTGGTGGCTAGAGCACTAGCCTCCCAATAAGGAGACCTGGTTGGATCCCAGCAATGGTTGATCGATATGAATTCCACAGCTGCCTTACACCGACCACTGTGCTGACGCTAATTATCCTCAGTGGTAGACTGATCATGGGTTAGAGTTCCTTTACCGTCATGCTAACTGTGAGGTTTTCGTCGTTTTCTTCTCCATGTAACGCATATACGGATTGATTCCAACAAAAAAAAGTCCACCACGAATGCAAATTTCTCCAAATACTTGATCCAGAGGTTTTCTTGTCTTCTAGATTGGGTTCAAAATTACAAGGGTAAGGGTTTAAACATTGGTAGTCGTAAACTCAAATGGGGGTTCAACGGCTGTCTAGTTAACTGAATAAAAAATTGTTTTTTTTCCTAAATAGTACAAAACAAAGTGACACCTGCATTTTATTTCCTTGTTTGAAAGGTATAGCGTCATCAGCATCAGAAATTTTGAAGGAAGAATAAATTAAAAAAATATTTCTTTTATATATAAGAATGGCTTCAAAAACATGTCAAGTTGTTTTGTTACAGCGATTTTTGCTAGAATGGTGCGTTTTTTTAAAGATTAAATTCTCATAACCCTAATCATCAAAAAGTTGCTTATAACGAAATAATTCACATTAAAAGGAAACATTCCTATGTACTTTTATAAATAAAATAATTTTAAGTAAATGGTTTAAATTTAAAGTCTTTCGGGTCAAACTGTAAAAAAAATATAGAAAAAATTTTTGACTTTCTGGTTGCCGGTACTTCTTATCGTAAAATCCACTTTTACTGGAACATGCAACGGAACAAAAGAATCTGATATACCTTGATTTTTACAATAATAATTATAGTAAAATCAATGAATTACTTTAACTAAAAAACTATTTAAAATTTACGGTATAATATTTAATGGTAAAAATGGATTTTACGAATGATGCACCCGAATTGCAGGTATTTCATACCGTAATTTAATTCGGAATTTTTTACTGCTTTTGCTTGAGTTATGAGCTCAGCCAGTTAAAAAAGGAATGTAAAACTCTTCTGATATTTTCTGGTGCAAAAATTGAAAATTTATTTAATCATAATTTGTTTCTTAAAGAAAAAAAAAATCTTTTTATCAAAAACCCTAGGTTTGAACCCCTAACTCTTTTAGCGCTAGAGATTGCTTTAATTTGCACAAGAAGTAAAATATATATTGCCACTTGTTTCATGGTTGAGAAAAAGAATAAATCATCGTTGGTATAATCGAGATTGTTGGATACCTTGATCCATTCAATGCAAGTGTTTTCAATAAATCGAGGATTTGAGCAAAAGAAAAACTTGATAGAAACAAGACATTAATAAATTTCGTGCTTAATTTGCCTTTTTGTGCACAGAGCTACTTAATAGGACACTAAGTGTGCTGAAAAATGTTTTGCTTTGAACGAAATTTCTTTGCTCAAAAATTAATGCTACTGGCTTGAGAAAATTTAGCAATTTTCTTTTTTTTCCCGTATTAATTGCATTTTACTTTTTTGCGTCATTTAAGGTGCTGCTTTTTTGCGTTTTCTGCTATTTACAATTTAAATTATTTTATTCTTAATCTTCCGCATGTTTTTTTCAGAGTTCCAATGATCCATACATAAACTACCAAAACATATCATTGACAGCGCATGTGTTAATAACACTCACTGCAGTGGCTGATTTATCTGGAGTAAGTAAATGTTTCTAGTTAATCTTTAAATATATTGTTGAATGTATAAGGTTTGTGATAGCTTTAAGCCTTCAATAATATGCATCTGAGAAATATGCATAATATTGAAAAAATAAAACAATAATTCCACTTGCACTTACGCACAAATATACCGGCACTCTGAGTGCCAGTACTTTTAATCGTCAAATCCATTTTTACCTTAAAATTTTGTGGAACAAAATATCTGATATACCGTAATTTTTAGAGTAATATTTATTGTTAAATCACTGAATCACTGATTAAATAAATATTTTTGCAAAAATTACGGTATAAAATTTTACGGCAATTACGAATTTTACTGTAAAATGCATTTTACGGGTGTGGTAATTACAGTATTTGTACTTTTTCCCGTCAATTGATCCGGAACTTTTAACATGGTAGGTACATTTTTAAATTTAACTGATTTGTTTCAATTTAGAGAACTTCACAAAAACTCTACTTTTTTTTTTAACTGAAGGTTGCATATTTATTAAAATATGTGTAATTCGAACAAAAGTATATATTTTTTAACTTACATTTTTAAAGCTTTGGTTAATCAATAAGGTTTGCCTATTACACTGAATCTAAAAAAAACTAAGCTAAGCTAAACAAAACTAAACAAATCTAAAAATCAAAACCAAACTCAGTGGTGTGACAGCCCATTAAGGACCAAGACCTTTTAAGATCATCCCAATTTTCTTGAAATTGGACTCAGAAGTGCAGGAGCAGATGATCCGATTGGGTGGTTAGCCGAGATCGAAACCCCCAGTGTGTAGTCCCCGAGCATGCTTGGTACTCATTTTATCGACCCACTGAAGGGGTGAAAGGCTGAGTCTACCTTGTCCGGTCCAAGGAAAGAACCTCGAACCTGTGCCACGCAAGCACGAAGCTCTGCCACTCAGTCACAGGGCTTCTTATTGCAAATCAAACAATTATTTTTAATCAACGAAGCATGTTTCATTATGGCTATGCATTTTATCCTAATCTCTTATGATATTTGTGAAAATCAAAAATAATGGTTAATAAACTGATGAGAATTCAAAGTTAAGTTCTATTTTTGCGATATTTTGTTTAAAAATTTTATTATTATCATTTAAGCGTAATATATTATTTTTAGATTCAAAAATTGATGTTTATATTCGGATTTTAAATTTACGAGACATAAATGTTTTATCATTTAAATAGAATGTAGTTGAAAATCAATAAAATTAAATATTTATGGAATATTTGATTATACTAGTAAGTTTTTTCGCATTTGAATTTTTGTGATTTTTGCATATTCATTAACGTAGAGAAAAACCTTGTACACCTGGGCCGTGGGGTATACAGCGTAGTCCACCTACAAATGAAAACTTTATGCCTTTAATTTAAAAATTGAAAATTACAAATTCCTTAAATAAATATTTGCTCAGAAAAAACAAGCAATTTACAGGTGGCAGAATTGAACTATGTTAAAGAGAAAAAATAGACAATCAGTAAGTTGATAACAGTTAAAAAAATAAAGTATTCCTGCAACAGTCCGCTGAGAACTGGCAGGGTCATGAAGTTAAAGGCTTCACAACTTCGAGATCAACAGCATGATTGTGGTAACGTGGTCAACAAGGCGCACCAGTCGCCTTTATTCCCATACAAGATGGTACCCATAGATCTGTAGTAGGGTGGGCTTCAAGATGCCACTGAGGATCAAACCCTAAATCTTCACAAAATTGACCTATTTATTATGGTTTTTGGAAAGTATCTTATACTGATATCCATGTTTAGTGTGCAATTAAAAATACTATTTAAAATTCAATGTGAGGTAAAATGTGATTCAAAATATTTACATCAACGTACGTATTTAATTCTTTTCAATAACGTAAGGTTAAGCCTTGGTGGTTCAGGGGTAGAGTTCTCGCCTTCCAATGATGTAACGCAGGTTCGAGTCCCAGTGATGACTGTTCGATATCATTCCCCTCCCGTCTCGGACTGACCACAGTGTGTATCTAAAAAAATATTCAATGGTAGACAGATCATGGGTTTGAATTTTCTTGTCGTCGTTTAAACCATGGTATGTTTTCGTTGTTTTCCTATCCACGTAAGCAAATGTGAGTTAGTTCCAACAAAAAGTCCTCCACGAAGGTTATTTTGCCCCAATGCTTGGTCTAAGAGTTTCCTTGTCTTCAGAATTGGGTTCATAATTTCGTGACTACAGAGTTGAACATTGATAGTCGTTAACTCAAGATTGGATCAGATGTTCAACTCTAGGTATGAAATAAAATAACAAAGCGCAGAAGTTCAAGAAATGGAAAAATTTTAGGTGAACTCCAAGTTGGTTATTGTTATCAACTACTTTTACTATGAATTGTAGTTCGTAACGACTGTTTTTAATATAAAACTTCGTAAATTTGAATGGAATAAAATAAGTATGTTCATTATGTGTCGCAAACTATTATTTCAGTGAAAACACAAAAAACGAAATTGTTTACAAAGGAAAAAAAGGAATGAAAATCCTCTTTTCCTCTATTATCCTATTTTCTCCATTAAAACCAAGTTTTTTTTTCTCCATTTGACTGGAATGCAGTCGCTTTCTGCCGGAACTGCTTTAAATCTCATAACAAACATTTTGTATTTAGTAGTTTTTATTTGTATCAATCGCACTATCTTACTTTCTTTACCTATGGGTATCATTCAGAAATAAAAGAAGTATAAGATGGTGAGTTTGCTGTGAATGATTTGTTTAACTCCATTCACACTGGCAATAATGGCTTTTAATACGTTTGTCTTAATATCAATAATTCATCTTTGTCAGAAAATTTCCAATTTACTATATGGCATCAGGCCAATTAATACAGAGATTGGTTCAATTTTATTTTGAACTGATATCTGTATCATAGACTAATGTTCTTAAGCTGAATGGACAGCCCCTTGAACTGATTTCCTTATTTAGAGAAAAACTCTATGATTTGGTTATATTGTATTCTCTTTAGCGTGTAAAATTTTTGGAATACTTTTGTACTCTAATTAATACAGACTAACTCTTTCAATTACTTATTTTATATTATTATTTATATTAAATAAAAATAGAAAAAGAAACGTTAATATCTTTATCTGTGATCATTTTATGTTATGTGATTGTTTTTGTTCGTTTTATGTGTTAATCCAGTTGAGACTCCAGTTGTTGTAAAGCACACCTAAGCTTATAAGTTTTTAATCTATTATTATTATTTTGACTTAGTTATATCCTTATATGAAATTTCACATACGTTAAGAAAAAAAAGAGAATAATACGTGATCAAATTTAAAAATATTTTTCTCATTCATTTCATTTTTTTAAATTGTAAAACGGCTTTTAACGGGACCGTGGCTTAAAAAACTGACATGATAACTATTTACGTATAGTGGTTAACATTTAGTTATTATACATTTATATTATTGCATTACACTTCACAGAATTTAAATCTACACTCATAGTGATTTTGAAATGCGATGAACTATAATATCGTTTAAATTTGATAAAAAAAACTATTATGGTGCTAAATTGATTCAAATTATCTTACTCTTTAAATATGAAAAAAGCTGATAAAAAGATGATTTCACAGCGAAAAGACAGTTAAAAGAATAATTTTGCTCAGAGTTTTTAATGAGTATGAATAAAATTATTTTTATGAATCAAATTTGATATTATAAGAAGAAAAAAAAATCTGGTAAAATTACCATATTGTATGATAATGACATTTCTGGAGAAAAAAATCTATAATTCTGGTTAATAAAACCAAAATATACGGTATTAAACCATTTAATTGGTAGTTTTTCCATTCATATGGTAACGGTTAACCGGAAATTCTGGTTTTCAAAATTATAATTCTTATTACAATGAATTTTATTAAAAAAAACTGAGGAATAAATTTAATCGAATTATTGATTTTAATGCCATGTTCTAAGGTATCACGATAAAATTACCAAATTTAACCACAATTACCAAATTTTATCACGCGTTCTGAAACAATATTTCATTGTTAATTTTACCAAACACATTACCGAAGAGCTTCGGTAAAAACTATCGAGTTTTTTGGTGTTCCCATAGAGCCATAAACACGTTGAATATTTATCATGTCCTGTTAGTTTTGACTAGATTTTTTTCCTCAGAATAATATATTCTAAGCATAAATATACATTCGAAAAGCAATTTTTTGTCAAAAATATTAATTAATTTTGTGTGTCACATGAGACACAAACCCGTTGAAGCGTTAAAAATATTTTTGTGTCATAATTAACATCAAAGTTATTTTTATAAACATTATAAAAATAATGTTTTTGCAAAATTTAAGTCGCATCAAATCTTCATTTATTTCTATTTTAAAATAAATATCTTTATGTCATTTGTTTTTAAAGATAAATTGCCGATATTATATTCTTAAACGTCACTTTTACTGATTTAAAAAAATCTTTTTTATGCACTGTCTAAAAGTAAATTTAAATACGGCATATCTAATTTATTTAAAGGAAAAAAAATATATATTTTATTATATATACTAATTTGATACTACTGCTGAGAGATGGAATGATTTTAAAGTAATTTTGTGGCGCGCATTTTTTGTCGTTTGGGAAAATTAAAAACCAAAGGGAAAGAAATTTTAAAAAAATGCTTAAAATTAATTCTAAGTTTATTTTCCGCTCCCCTTTAGTTCAATATTCTTTATTTTTACAAATTATAAATATGAAAATTAGTGAAGAAAAATGGAGATTTTTTTCAAACAAAATGCAGTGAAACTATCTAATTTCCTTTTTAAAGAAATTTAATTATCTCATTTTAAATAAACCTTAAGACATTTGCCTTTGTTCATTTGAGAATAAATCTAATTACATTCAGAAAGTATTATTTTGTTATTATTAAGTTATTATGACTAGGTAAAAACGTTATTTATCCTAAGGATATTAAAAATAAATACACTTTAGCTCAGTTAAAAAAATTAATTTATTTCTTTTAAAAAGTAGTTTATAAT